TCTATCAGATAATTGTCATCAATTGTTGTCTTCATTAATTTTAATTCCTTTATTACTTAATTCAAATATAAAATACCACCATGTTAATAGTTGCTGCAATTTTTAATTTTATATGTTAACATTAACTAAACTTTAACTTTTGAAAAAATGAGTTATTTTATTTTTTATTTTGTGGTACTAGGAATGGAACCCAGGGCCTTGCACTTTTAAGGCAAATACTGTACCACTGAACTACATCCCCAGCCCTTCACTTTAACTCAACCTTTCATAAATATTTTGTGATGTCTTAGATATGTCACTCAGATGTTGACCTAGCATTAATAATTCTTTGACATAATTTCCTTTTTAATAAAAAATGCTCTACATTTGCATTAACTAAATTCAAATAGAAAGAAGTTATGGATAAAATGTCATGTTGCTAATGAAATATGATAAATCTGTTAAATTACATGTTTGAACAGTTTTTCTTATAATTTGTTGTGCCTTTTTCGATCATCTGCATTGACAGTGGTTCTGACATTTAATCCCTGGCTGTGGTAGGCAGGCCAAATTTATGTTATAATATCAAGGGAGTCTGTTTTCTGCACTTCACTCTCTCTGCCTCTCCCCACACAAGCCTGTTCTTGTTTTAAATATTATATATTTCTCTCTGTAGACTGTTAAGACTGTGGAAAGTTACATGTTGGAACCATTGTTAATGTCAATGATTGGGAAGATAGAACTTGCTCAATTATGTCTGATGGAGGGCAAGAAGTGGAGGGAGCCCAGAGTCTTGCTGTTAAATACACTCAGGTAGAGAGGTAGAGGTGAGCCTGGTGTGGTTGAGCATAGCCAGCACAGCAGCTTCAGGGCTGCTCTGTGGTCACACTTCATTGCTGTGTCTTGTACTGCCCACAGAATGCCTTAGTTCCTCTTGCTGTCTGAAGGTTTCATCAGAATGTCGGGTGATATCCGGCTGGTTGTCCATGCTGATGTTTTTGAGTAGCGTCTAATAGAAGTGAAAAAGAAAACATAACCAAAATTTGTTTGTTTCAGTTCATTATGGCTATCATATTTAAAGGAATTGTTTGTATTTATTTATGATAGAATTGCTTTGTTATTCAATTGATTGACTTAAGATGCTGGAATGATTGGCTTTTTCAAACTTAAGTGCAAAAGCAGAATTACTATGAAATAAATTCTCAACCATTTTACCTTAAATGAGGTCTTTCAGTGCTCTCTTGAACTTATTTTCTCCATCACATAAAATTCATTTATAAAGTTAGCATAGTTTCTCATCAGCACCCTACCATTGATAAAATAGAACTTAAAATGTTGAGACATGGAAAGAAAGTGACAAAGTGCTTTGGTCTGCACTGCTGGTCAGAGGAAATTCAAGTTAGTTTTGTTGAAGGTGTGGAGTTTTTCATGAGCAGTGAATGAAAGCACCGTTTTTCCTTTTTCTCTTTTTTGAGGGTGGGGGGAATGCCAGTTATTGAATTCAGGGGCTCTTAACCACTGAGCCACATCCCCAGCCCTATTTTGTATTTTATTTAGAGACAGGGTCTCATCGAGTTTCTTAGGACCTTGCTCTTTTGCTGAAACTGGCTTTGAACTCACCATCCTCCTGCCTCAGCCTCCCGAGCCTCTGGGATTACAGGCATGCACCATCGTGCCCAGCCCCTTCCTCTTTTTAACATTGTAAAAACCACTGATCAAAAAGAAACTTTAATCTCTTATATTTTCTGAGAGATTATTGTCATAAACTATGTACTAATTTGTATTGAAATAGATGCTTTGTAAGACATTAGACTGTTGAGCTGCTTTTTATGTTCTAAGACATGTCATTCCCAAAAAACATATTGAACTATACCTTTATAGGTATATATATATGGGTATTTTTGATGACATTGAAACTAAGCTGTAAGCATTATGATTAACTTTATCTAAAAACCCAAACTTCTCTATATTACAGAATTTTATTGTTAGGAGTTAAAATCTTTTTTAAAAAAAATATTTATTTTTTAGGTGTAGATGGACACAGCACAATGCCTTTATTTTTATGTGGTGCTGAGGACTGAACCTGGGTCCCGCCCATGCAAGGCAAGTGCTCTACCACTGAGCCACAATCCCAGTCCCAGGAGCTAAAATCTTAATGTAACAACTGAAAGCTTTGCATTTGAGAAGGCAGAGGCATCAATAACCGACTTTTAAAAGTACCCAGATGAGTAGTTAGCAGATGCCTTGAAGTGTTTTCCCACAGTCGGTGTATCCCCCAGAGCCTATGGCATAGGGCCATCATGGGGCCCTTTCTTTATTCCTGTTTTTTTTTTTTTTAAATGTTGGGGATAGGGTAGGTCTTACAGGTGAAATTTTGCTCAAGAAAATATTTTAAAAGTAACTCTAAAAATTAAAGACGCAATTCATAGTTCCTACCTTTGGATCTTTTATGGGTCATTTGCTTTCATTTCATCCACAAGAGATTCTTGTGACCTTTGCTTTTCTCTCCAGAAGCATCACCCTGAGTGTAGCCCTATCTCTCCTATAAACTTTGAACTGCCTGCAAAATTACCATCACTGGGTCCTTTCCCATTAAAATAACTTATATGTACATGCCCTTTTTTGTTAGATGAGTGAGAATAACACAAGGCAGTATTTATTGAGAACCACTATTCACTAGGCCATATTGTAGGCAGTGAAGATAATTCGAGGCAGACTACTAAGTATTTGTCCTTGTGGATAATATATTCCAGCATGGAAAGACAAACAAATAAATAAGGAAGAATTACTGTGGATGCAGGCAATATTCATATTTATACCTTTTTTCTGAATAACTTGGAGAGTTAGTGTGCTGCCAAGTACATAGTATTAATTCAACCCTGCTTAACCAGTTGTGGTTAGGATACTTCTCCCTGTAACATGAAGATCTGCTGTTTGCTTATAATCCGGTATTTAATAACTAGATAACGGGTCATTTTTACCCAAATGTGCCTGTCTTCAAACTCTTCCTGGTGCCTCAAGACTCCCTAAACATTAGGATCTTATTCCAGTAAATTGATGCAAACCAAAGTTGATGTTTGTTAGGTTTTATTTCTGGCTGATGAAATGCCTAGGAAAACACCTTTCAAGTGCCCTGAGACTTGGCTGTGCTTGCCTCCTGCACCTCTTTTTTTTCCTGATGTCTTGAGTTGAATCCTCTAAGAGTTTTTCATATTCTGATCTGCACCATGGCCCTTAGTAATTGTGAAATATCTTTTGAAAGGATTTAAAGCTGATAATGACTTACAGTGGACTTAGAGATGGGCCATATGATATCTCAAGCATAGATTAAAGATCTGTCGACCACCTTGGGCATAGCATTTAACATCCAATCTCCTTATAAACAAACAGAAACATTACAATGATGATATGCCTGAGAAAGAAAGAAAGTTATTATCAGAACAAAAAGCACTTGTCCATTTGCAGCCATATTCTTTCCAATTTGAGAATATCCCCTTCTCTTTCATTCTTTGGCGTCCAGGAAACCCATGGTAAACCCATGATAGCATGCTTATGGTTACTAGGCTTTTTAAACAGGGCCACCATTTGCTGACCAGGTTGTGTTAAAACCCTGATTTTCAGGTGTATAAATAGTCTGAATATTGTGGATTCTATTTACATATCTAATGTAACCTAAAAGGAGGCATTTTCTAAGTATTCTTAGAAGTAGTGACATGAATTTTTTTCCTGATTCATTCAAGGTATGTTATGACCTAAGAATAGAGTATTGAAATTTCTGAATAAATAATTCACTTGTACACCTGCCTGAATTCTCTTTATCCTTATAGGAAGCATCAGTCAACCCAAGACAGAGAATGTTCAAGAAGTGGGATTAAGCTACTTTTCCCCCAAAGAGCTTTCTTCCTGTCAGACTTGGCAAGAAGGTGCAGGCAGGTTAACCAGGGATCAGGATTCTATGAAAAACTTTCAGGACAAGAATTTCCAGTTGCAAAAACAAGGTGATCTTCTCTACCAGATTTGGACAGAAATGCCAATTCAGATTTCTGAAGATGGGAACTACATATTGACTCGTCATGTAGGGCATGATTCAAATTATGTAAAAAATCAAGAATTTCCATCTTGGAGAGACCAGCAGTATTGGAGGAAAATGTATCTGACAGAGTCACATAATTATCAGTGTAAATGTCAACTAATTTCCACAAGAAATAATTCCTGTAGGTGTGACAGTGTCAGATGGATCTCACATCACAATGATAATCTGAAAGTACACAGAAGTGGAAAAGGTGGCAGTTGTCATGACTGTGGAGAAGATACCATGATGGCATCATTAGTTCATCAGGACTCAGTTCAAACAGGGCAGAAGCTCTGCCCATGTTCTGAGTATAGAAAAGCCTTCAGCAGTGACTGCAATTCTCAAGTTAATCAGCAGTTTAACTTAGAAGGGAAGCCCTGCACATATAGTCCATGTGGAAAAGGCTCTAGCTATAGGTCAATTCTTCATCTACATCCAAGTGTTCAGAGGGGAGATGAAGATGTTGGTGAGAGTTCACATCTGCAATCTCATGAGAGAGAGTGTACAGAGAAACTATGCAAATGTGCTGGATATAGAAAGAATTTTAATAATTTCTCTTCTATAAACACTTTTGAACTTAACCACACAGGAGAAACATCCGAGAGGCGCAACCTTTATAAGAAATCCTTCAGTTATAGCTTAGATCTTAAAAGCATTTTTAGGGTCCATACTAGGGAGGAACCCCATGATTATGAGGAGAATGGGAATATTTTAAACCAGAGTTCATGTCTTCAAGCTCATCAGAAAATGCAACCTGCAGAGAAACTATACACAGATGTGAAATATGGGAAAGATTCCATTTGTAGTTCAGAGCTTAGCGTTGAACATAGAGTTCACATGGAAGAGCATCCCTATAATTCTAAGGAATGCAGTAATGACTTCAGTCTGGCTTCACATCATCGGGACTTTCAGGTGGTCTACCCTAGGCAACAGCCGTATAAACACCACTATGTATGCAGTAGCAACTTCAGTCACAACTCACATGTTCAAGGCCATCAGAAAATTCACATTGGAGAAAAACCTTATAAGGAGTGTGGAAATGGCTTCAACTGGAGTTCAAAACTCAAAGATCATCCGAGAGTCCACACTGGACAAAAGCCGTACAAATGCAATGTGTGTGGCAAAGCCTTCAGTCATAGATCCGTTCTCAATGTTCATCAGAGAGTCCACACAGGAGAAAAACCTTATAAATGTGAGGAGTGTGATAAGGGCTTTAGTCGGAGCTCATACCTTCAAGCCCATCAGAGAGTCCACTCTGGAGAAAAACCATACAAATGTGAGGAGTGCGGGAAGGGCTTCAGTCGGAACTCCTACCTTCAAGGCCATCAGAGAGTTCACACTGGAGAGAAGCCATATAAGTGTGAGGAGTGTGGGAAGGGCTTCAGTCGGAGTTCACACCTTCAAGGCCACCAGAGAGTTCACACTGGAGAAAAACCATTCAAATGTGAGGAGTGTGGGAAGGGGTTCAGTTGGAGTTTTAATCTTCAAATTCATCAGCGGGTTCACACAGGAGAAAAACCCTACAAGTGTGGAGAATGTGGTAAAGGCTTCAGTAAGGCCTCAACTCTTCTGGCCCACCAGAGAGTCCACACAGGAGAGAAACCATACCAGTGTGATGAGTGTGGGAAGAGCTTCAGTCAGAGATCATACCTTCAAAGTCATCAGAGTGTCCACTCTGGAGAGAGACCATATATTTGTGAGTTATGTGGGAAGGGCTTCAGTCAGAGAGCATATCTACAAGGTCATCAGAGAGTCCACACAAGAGTGAAACCATATAAATGTGAGATGTGTGGAAAGGGCTTTAGTCAGAGTTCACGCCTTGAAGCACATCGGAGGGTCCATACAGGAGGGAAACCATACAAATGCGAGATGTGCACGAAGGGCTTTAGTGAGAGCTCACGCCTTCAAGCACATCAGAGGATCCATACGGAAGGGAGACCCTACAAATGTGAACAGTGTGGTAAAGGTTTCAGTGG